AATATTGGGGTTGCACTTTCCACTTGTGTCAAACACTTGTTCCTGAACACTAAATGTGTTTTATGTCGAGGCTTTCCTTCCGTTTTCAAGGTTAGTGTTGAACTTCTAATCGCGTTTTTATGTTAGTATAATAAGATGAATTTCTTTTTTCGTGCTTCTTGTATTCTTTTCTATCTTCACAGCGAAGAATTTAAACTAAAATGAAAATGACTGAGATTCGTGGTCGACTCGTGAATCTAAAAGGTTTTTACAACACAAAACCTTTATTGCGCAAATTCCAAATGCGCAGGATTTGACATAAAAACCACCATATATAATGACTGTGACTGACCTACACCTCCTTCCTGGAATCAAACCCGAGAAGCAGTGAAATGTGTAAAGGGGAAAAGGCGTTATCTTCCGCATTAATACCCGCTGCAGGGTATATGGGCAGTGTAATGTCAGCGTGTCACTTGTAATGTATAGGACGTGATGCAAGACCTCCTTCAAAAATACCAAGTTGACTCTGGTACATGTTGAAATTTGCATTTATAACCGAGACAAAAAAGAGGAAATGAGTCTTTCCGTACTCGCCCCTTCTGCTTTTGGGACTTTGATTCTCTAGTATCGGTGGAGGACACAAAAAGGTAGGCTGTTTGCGCCTTCTGTTGTACTCTCTATATAGATATAGGCTCAGTAATCGATACATAGGTGTATTGTATCATACAGGTCGATTTCTGTATCAAAAGATTGCTTTCGAGCTATTCTGTTTCCTCCCGATCTCACCTTATCACGGGAGAGGATGCTTTGCGCTTCTCTGATGTGGTTTTTTCACTTTAGTGAGGATTTTTAACATTATCTACATCACAGTGCACCTCAGGAATGGATTGGTTTAGCAGGAAATAACCGCTTCCTGAAGGACAGGAACTTTTAAAATAACTTCTATCTCATGATGATGAGAGTGATACAGCTGAGGAAGTAACTCACCAGTTTGCTTTTGAGGACTTTTCACTGACCTACAGCCACCTTGGATTGTACATCAAAAGCTGTTATCGTTATCTAAAAGTGAGACTTAACATTTATTCGTTAATGTTAATAATAACATATCAAAAGAAGAACTCAGTGTGATACCAGCCCCTCCTTCTCTCTGTTAACAGGAGGTTTCAGTGCAACATTGAAAGGAAATGACCAAAGAACATGACCCATCTTATTTGCTATCCAATATCCAGTTTCATTCTGTAAGGGACCGGAGGTTTTCCACACATTAAAAAAAAACTGTAACTTAACTTGTGTAGCTTTGCATGATTCACATTTCAGAATAATCTCAAACATTTAAGTTAACGTGTCAAATAAGTCATTGTAAGTCCTCTCTCTTTATGGCCACCGACCTTTACTCCAATTTTCTTCTGATTAGCTGAAAACAAAGGGCTTGAATACAGATGGGTGGGGCTTCTGTGCTCAAGGCCAGAGAGCTGTGTGCCTGAGATGACTATGTTAAGGATATATGTAAAAAGTAAATGTAAAAAGTGACATCATATAGAGCTGAAAGTAGAAACAACAGTCCAAAGCCTGGTTGTTTTCTTGCATGTGCTGACCTCACTATTTGAAACTTCTGCTATGTTTAATATGAACAGTATACATGTGACAGGAAATAAGATGAAGAGGAGCAAAGCCAGCAAAATAAAGTTGTGCCATTAGAATTTTCGATATTAGTTTTTTATCTAGTTCTTCACCACAGAGTAAAGAGTGCGTTTCCCACAATTCCATTAGCGAGGTGAATAAATGTCTATGACTCTTGCAGGTAAGATGAAGGACCGACTGACTGAGCTGCAGGCCTTCACGCCTGCAGAGCAGGAGTACAAGCCCACAGAGAACGAGAGACTCGCCGGTGAGGATGAGGAGCCTCTCGAGCAACACGCCATTGTGTTTGAGGGTGAGGACATGATGGATGGCATCTACAAGGATGCCCAAGCGATGAGGAAGGAGATCCAGTTGCTCAGAATGGATGTGAAACGTCTGGGGAAGCAGAACACCAGGTTCCTCACATCAGTCAGGAGGATCAGCAGCATCAAGCGGGACTCCAACGCACTGGGACGAGACATCAAGGCCAGAGGGGAGTCCATTTATAAAAAGCTGGAAAAAATGGGGAAGCTGAGCAAGGAGCTGGAGGAAGACCATGGAGTTACATCAGCTTTGGCTCGCATGGTGCGCTCGCAGTATGTGTCTTTGACCAGCGCCTTCCACAGTGCCATGTCTGAATACAATGAGGCTGAAATGGCGCAAAGGGAGAATTGCAAAACCCGCATCCAGAGGCAAGCAGAGATCATGGGCAAGGAGGTAACCAGGGAGCAGATAGACGAGATGACTGAGACGGGCAAGTGGAACGTCTTCTCGGATAATCTCCTGCTGGAAGGGAGGACTGCCAGATCTGCTCTCAACGAGATTGAGAACAGGCACAAGGAGCTGCTGGAGCTGGAGGGCCGCATTAGGGACATTCATGACCTTTTTTTCCAGATGGCGATGCTGGTGGAGCAGCAGGGCTGCATGCTGGACAACATAGAAGCAAATGTAGGGGCAACAGAGGACTATGTAGCCAAAGCTTCAGCGCAGATCAAGCAGGCTAAGATATACAAGAAAAGCAATCCATGCAAGAAGCTGTTTTGTTGTTGTTTCCCATGCTGTAAATGAGGCGCCACCAGTTCCCACCCCCTACCAGAACATTTGATTCAAATCCGCTTTCTCTGCAAATGTTTCTAAATGCTCACATGAAAGCTTTTTGCTGCTCTAGATGTGTCCAGATATCACATTCTGGTATCATTTTCTTTATTGAGTTGATATCAACTAGTCAGAGTGATTCAAACCACATGCACATGTGCAAATATATACAGTGCGATGATGGTAGTTACATTTCCTGATTGCTACTGAGAACAGCTTGTGCATACATGACTGCTGTAAAAACATCGAAATTATTATTTCATGTGACTTGCAGCTTTGTTTAGCTTTTAGCTTTGTACAGTCTGCAATATTTAAGCCCATAAAGTATGATTTTATTTATAAATAAATGCCTTGGAGTGGCTATATTTGGACAACTTGAATGTGCATCTACAGCTAAGCTTGGAACCGGTACTTGCTATAGACGTGTTTCTTATTGCAACCATTGCTTCACAAGTATGTAGAAACACTGATCACAGCTCAACCAGCAATTGTGGTTAGCTGGGGAGGCAAGTTAGATTTGTGAGGATTGTGCAACTATATGTTAGCCACCCCCATGTATATCATCACCAGCTACAAGCCAAGGCTGTGCTTTTCCTCCACGTGTTGCTTCACATAAAAAAACACAAACACACAAATATCTGTGTGTCAGCTCCACTTTAGAAAGTCAATGATTTTGTTCATCACTGCCAGACAACCAACGTCACCAAAGCCAGTGAAATCTCTTTAACAGGGCAGTTTGCCTGACTTAATGCGGTGTTTGCACAGGTAATGTTACAGGAGAAACAGAACAGAATGGCAAACTAAACAGGTCAGAGGACTTTCTGTTTGCACAGGAGGCCTATCTCACTGCCCTTTGTGATGGTAGTAAAATTTAAAAACCCTTATTTCCCCGTGCCTCTGGGCCAGCCCATCCCTCACTGGGGGAATCCCAGTCATCAGCTGGTAAACTGAGGGTGTTGTGACTCAGACTGCTGTGTACCTGTGGGAGTTTTCAGACTTAACTGCCTCTGCTCTGTGTTGAAATGAGTTTCAGGGCTGCAATGATTGCACTTCCTTAGCAGTGCTGTGCGGTTTCTACTGGGGGCATTTACCGACAAGAGCGCGTTTATTTGAACTGTGGCGTCACGCCTCTGGTAGCTGTGCGTGCTGGAGTCACACGGCTTTATCTGATGTGAGCCATGCGCTGATTGTGCACGTGCACTCACCAGGATGGCCGAGTGGTTAAGGCGTTGGACTTAAGATCCAATGGACAATAGTCCTCGTGGGTTCGAACCCCACTCCTGGTAAAAACGGAAGTTTTAACCGATGTTTGGAGGAAATGCGTGCAGTCTTATGCACTTCAGGACGACTTTACTCTTCATGGTCAGCCTTTCTGCGCTTAAGCTCCCACAGTAATAATTGTCACCTTCCTTTGAGATTCCTGTTGCGAAGCCATTGTTTGCCATTGCTTTGTCTGTTTTTTTCTTATCACGCATGTACTCTGGTTCAGCTAAGAAACTAAGAGAGATTTTGGATAATTACAAGGGGCACGCCTCACTGCCTCACTATAGAGTTGAGACTTAACAGGTATTTGATTACACAGTGTGGTCCAAATGTAAACAAAACGGCAGTACAGTAGCAGATGTTAATATTTAAATATTCAAAAGCCCCTAAAAAGCAGTAGTTCATGCTTTCTAACAGATTTACAAATGCTGTAACAAAAGGAGACGTAATTGCAAAGTAACATGCACGTGAAGAAGCTTTCATCATTGCCATTCTTCAGTGACGCTTTTATTCAAATATTTGAAACGAAGTCAATGATGAGGACTTTTATACTTTATTTTCTCTTCATTCTTATCTTGAATCAAAACCCACCAACCGGGGACCAACAGCTAAATCACATCCTGGCTCATCATCGCAGTGGAAGATGTTATGTACCAAGAGGCCTATTTATATTTCCTGTGTGGACGGTTTCGCACCCCTGATGGTGAAGGTCTGTTTATGTGGTGCCATCTAGCGGTGAGGGAAATATTATTTCACAAATGCTGTATTATTGTTTTCCCAGTTTCACAGACACTGTATTAAATCTCTCAAGACTTTGCTGGCACTAAAAGAAGACAATGTGTCCTATTTATATTCTTCTGCCTTTGCAATGGGTCAAAACGAAGGAATAAAACACAAAGATATTAGAGTACAGTTTGAAATGGCTTTTGAACCAATCATATGTAGACTAAGTGGGTCTGAAGAGAACATCTGTTAGTGTACACCTGATCTAAATATACAGACATACCTCTGATAGATACTGAAAAAGATTAAAAGTCGAAACATTTAAGAACTCAAGAGTCTCTTTATTAAAATGGACAAAAAGTCAAACAAATGAAGTTGGCATACTGTGGTGAAAAAAACAAAACAAAACAAACAAAACAAAAGAAAAAAAAAACCCCCATCAGCAGTGATAATTTAACCCAAAATACTGATACACTCCAGGTGCAAAGACTGCAAAACAAAAAGTGATCTGGAGACCTCTTACATGCATGAACATCCACAGAATAAAAGCCTGATTTGCATGCTCAGTTCCTCATTCAACTCACTCGGACAACTTTAACGCCAAAGAGTTAGTGCATCTCATCAGGTTTTGTTGATTTCATTCTTTCTGTCTCTCTTTCTATAATATAAGAAAGGACATAAAATGTACTAATATTAATGTGTGGTGCCTGAGAAACAAACTGTATAAATTAGCCTGTAACTGGACTGATTACATGCAGAACAGGAAGGAGTAGCATTCTTGCTGCTTCAACAAAGACAACCTGTCAAATTTAGGATTTAAATTTTACAGTACATGCCGTCATGTGCAAATCAGTAATTCAAATCCAGACCTAACAGAGGCAGACTTGCATTTCTTAAAACAAAAAAAAAATAATAATAGATGTACCAGTACAAAAAAAACGAAGAAAAAAAAGAAATCACACAAACTGAAAAAGACAGTTTAGTTTTGACACAGCTTGGGCTTTCCTACATCCAAAAGAAAAAGAAACACACACCATACCCATATTTCATCACTAACTAATGACATGTCTGTCATTTTAAACCAGTTTCAAAAAGTTTTTGAAGATTTCTTTCTATATATGGGAACTACAAGTTTTGTTACATCATATTTCTTAATTCAGACAAAAATAAATAAATAAATTGTTCAACAAGCCCAATCACGAAGATTTATAAGTTTAAAAAAACCAAACAAAACCTTACTGATAAACATGAAAACCATGTTATTTCAGCACTGCAACTCACACCACTATAATACTGAAACAGTTCCCCACGGATCCTGTAATAATAAAGCAGCTGACCAGCTGTCGTGGCATTTTCAGCAATTTTCTCAAATACACTACGGTGAGATGAAGCTTCATGATACGACCCTGAGACACCAACAATACGTGAAAATAGCGGACATGTAGTGCCAAAAAGAAAAAAACAACTTGAAAACCATGATAAATAGTGAATATGAACATAGTTAATGGTGCTTATTAAAGGAGGGAAGTGTGTGCCCGTTATTTTTCCTAGAACCTGGCCTGCAGGATTTGTTGAGGTCTGACACTGAGGGGAAGGAAACCACGCTTCCTGCTAACCAGTCACTGATGATTCACCAGGTACATTCATTATTTGACTTCGCTACATTTAGATTTTTGAAGAAAAGAACCTCTAAATAATTGCTGGTTACTTGTCAAAATAGCTGGTAAAAAAAAAAAAACCCACAAGCCAACCGTGGCTTAAAAAACAAACAGGAAAAAAAAAATAGTACTGACACTCAACTGGTAAATAGTGTTGCTTCATGTCTCTGTACCCTGACTAACAAAGCCGCCTCTTAGTCAGAAGTGTGAAAAAAAGTTGAGGGTGGACCACTGTTGTGACTGCTAAAACATGCCAAAAAAAAGGTGTGAGCATGCTCATGCTGGTGCAGTTCAATAATCCTGTAAAGTGGAGCACAGACGTTTGGTCAATGTGAAAATGTAGAATTAACGCTGTGAAATCTGAGTTCTAAGCAGTACACACATGGTCACTGTAGGTATCTAAAGAAGATGTCAAAGCGTTCTAGGTAGCAGTAACTGTTCTAGCGTGAAGCAGTGGAGAAATCTCACAGATGTTCTGAACGACCTCATGGCGAGAAAAATCAAGTGTATCTCAAGTTAAGGCTCTACTCTTACCAATGAAGCACGGTACTGACTTTTTGATATAAAAATTGTTTAAAAATTCTACACCAAAAACATTCGATATTTACACAGTGTCAGAGTAGGTAAAGATACAACTTCAGTACACCAGGATTAATATCAGAGAGGAAGATACAACGCTAGAACTTCAATTTGCTTTTTTATAGTCCTGATGTGTGACTGCAGCAGGTCAGCCTCAGCTGAAGTATATGCCAGCTCACTACTGGCTTTGTCTTATTTGAGGGATTGAAGACTGTTTCCACTGTGTAGCAGAGAACCACAGGTAAAGTTCAACCAGGAGTTGTCTTTCTGAGGCCGGAAGAGTCGTAATGTCTGTAAACACTGGAGGAAAAATGTGCATTTGAGTTCTATAGGACCCAGAGGAGTCTGAAGGATGACCTCACTGTTTATGCTACTGGTTTGAGAACTGAACGTAAACACCTCCCTTCCTTTGTGAGCTCTCTGGTGAAACACATGCATGGCAGAGGGATCGCCTCCTCCCTACGAGAAATTGTGTTAAATTTGCATTTCTTGAGGTGATCAGCCATGCTGGCGATGTTTGCAAATTTCCACTCGTTCACTGTACCAAAGGCTGTGCTGAATCGCCACACCTGAACAGAAATAGGAAAATTTGTTTATTTTCATGTGCTGAGCACAAGACAGACAAGTGAAATTTGCTCTCAGCTGTCTTTAAAGAGTGTGCAAGTGGACAAACCTTGTTTGTGATCTGCCATGAGGGAGACCCATCAGCACGCCGTTTCTTCTCCCACAGCAGAACAACCATGCCACGCATCTGCAGCAGGCTGGCACACACATCTCTCATGATGCGGGACACTCTGGAGAGCTGGCACAAGCTAAAGCTGTCCAGAAAACTTGCTATGTGCTGCAAAACTTCAAATGGAAGACTGCTGAACTGGTCACACTGAGAGCTAAACTGGCAGTTCTTTCTTAGGCGCGTGTCCCCAGTTTTCAACGGCAAACCAGGCTGCACCCCGAAAGAACCCAGGTGCCTGTCGTGGATGATCCGGAAGCCCTGAACAGATGGACAAAATCGTCTTTGGGAGTAGGTGCAGCCGTAGTAGGCCAAGGGGCAGCGCTGCTCCATCCAGCCATTGAGTCCAGCATGAATATCTCCATGAACATTTTTGAAATGAGATGAGAATTCATCTCGTCGGAACAGCTGCCCACACACAAATGTGAACATGGAGCGCTGTTTGGTTTGGTATCGGGCCACACATTCAAGCACTAGGTCCAGTCTGAGAGTGTGGAAGGGGCTGGGGTTGGAAAGCTGTGGACTGGCGTGATCGCAGGCTGAAGCTGAAGCAATATCCCCCACCATGGTGTTGGTTGCAAGAATGGCAGAAGGGAAGGAGAATGTTTGCGTACCAAAATCAATGTGGTAGCCATCAACAAACCTGCTGTCTGAGATTCCTCTGCCTCCTGGAGAATCGCCAAGGCAAAAAAGCAAAGCTGCAGTGATAAGGTCAATGCCATGGAGGCCCATGGGGTCATCTGCTACCTCCAGGTCAGATGTGTCAACTGCCTTGTCCTCCATCTTCGCTCGAAACAAATAAGGATCTGACAGCAGGGCCCGACGTCCATTAAATGTAAACATACTTATTCCTCTAAGCACTTCTACATTCTGTAGCTTACGCTCCAGGCACCTGTACCTGAGTTCAGTGGGTAAGTGTTGCAAGAAGTTATTTCTCACATGATCAGACAGTAGGAATGGCATTGGAGGTGCAAGTGGTTCTTGTTGAGGCACAGGAGGTTCCAGTGCTACAACAGGCATGTAATTCTGAGGCATCTCTGGCCAGACAAGGTTGGAATCATTTATCGGTTCATCAATGTCGTCTTCCTTCTCATCAAAAAGCAACTCAACAAAATCATTTTCTTCAACCCAGTTGATACCATCTTCTTCTCCATCGTCTATAGCAGCGCTCTCCACTCCGCCCACCGCTCCCAGCTCGCACTCTGAATCAGAGTCACTTTCTTGCATATCTACATTCTTCCCGCCTTCAGCAACATAAATACCATGGCTATCACCATTTTCTCCATTATGGAGTGCTCCACTCTTATCAGTCTTTTCACCATTTAAGTTTCCAACAATTACATTAATGTCCTTGGAATTAGTGAGGATGTCCAAGGCAGCAGCTAAATTTCTCCTCGTCTCCACTGAAGCCCTGTACAGCTCATTAAAGGGCTCTTCCTCCATTTCCACTGTTGCATTACCTAACACTGTCTCTGGTAAACTTGATGCTGTGGCCATTTTATCACTTTCATCTAATTCTTTATCTCCATTCTTCGACACAGTGGTCGTGACCTTAAGGGACTCTAACAGCATCCTTTGATCCTGCAGAGCCAAAGCCATGTCTAACTGCTCCACCTCATCGAAGTCTTTGCTCAAGTTTTCATAGGACTTGCGATCAGCATAGCTGACAGGCCAGCGGTTCCACTCCATAGTACAACATACTATACTTGCAGGACACGTCTCAAGGTGTTGTGCCATCCTGACCCTTGCAATAGTGAAAGGGCAGCCAAACCCACTGTTGAGGCAAGGGAGGCGTTCATAGGGACACAGCAGACGATGTTCCTCTAGTTTGCACGAGTGAAAAACTGCCCCACAGACAAGAGGACAGCCAATGAGGTCACAGGAAACACCTGTCTCTGGTCTCACCATGCATCTTCTATTGATGCATTTAAGGCAGTGGGGGTGTAGAGTCTCCATTTTTCCCCTAATGATAGCTGGAGAAGGTGTCCAACCCTGAAACAAAATGATAAATAGATTTATTTTGTTGAGAAATCTCACACGTCATGGTAACACCCCTGTTTTTAGGTTTAACTGGAACAAAACATGTCTAGGGTTACATTATACCATCTATGCAACCATTTAATAGCACACGTGCCTTCAAAAAGCCCTGTCACCGATTCCCTCCACATGCACTGTAAACCTTTACGCTATTCAGTAACATTTCACAACACCCATCTTAGGTTTCATGGTCACACCAGGACCTTTAGGCCCTGTAACTTGCCCTTAGTTTTTCAAGGAATTCTGGTAACAAGTAAAACAAGAACAGCGAACAATTCAACCTGCCAACCGGGTGCAACACAGCCACCAAAATACTTCTGAATTATAACGCCGGGCTTATTTGGTCATGCTGCTTGTGTAGGGGATTTGTGGGATAATGAACGCAAGCTAAGAGGACAACAATCATATTAAAGACCCACAACAATGCTGCAAGCCCTAACAATGCAGTGCAACAAAGAAGAGCTATTATTCAAGTCTTTAATGCCTTGGCCGGCGACCGCTGTCTAAATTACGCAAGCACAACTGGCTAAAAACACAAACAAAAACACAGCAACAACTCCTAACACATCAATCCATCAACAGATTACATGTTAACAACATCCAATTGCAGCTTGGCAAGTATGCATTTACGTGTCAATGTATAAAGTTAAAGAATGACAAGCTAAGTCACAAAACTTTAAAAATCTTAATAAGTAAACAAAAGAACATCAACAACATGACTAGCCGGTTAGCGTTAGCGGCTACACTTTGTTAGCCTAATTAGTTAGCTAGCTCACAGCTTCTACAAACAACTTACCCGAGTCGCTGGGCTCTCCGAGTGTGCTTTATTTATATTGTCTAACTTTTAACAGCTCCGTCGATGCCTGCAGTACGGAAACTGTGACTACACAAACACCCCGCGGTATTAAATGTGTTTAAATCTTCTTATGAATTGAACAGGCTGCAGCTGCTTCCTCGCTGCTCGGGGTCAGTCGGAGTTATGTTGATCCTGATACTGCGGCGCAGTACTACGTCATCACGTAAACCGGCCGGTGTCCCGGTCATATTTAGGTTTATGGAGGCAGACCTGAGAGCACTGAAATAAACAGAGTGGGAAAACCCCCGAGGGCAGTTTTACATCTATAATCACTATTAGGGTGCTTATGATGCAGTCTGGGAAATTTAATGGGAATAGACTCCTGAGATAATATTAATTAGCTACCCTTAATTAATATTTTCTTTCCAAGGAGACAGTTTCCTGTCATTTTTTAAGTGGTCTCCAGCAATAGTTCTTCTGGCTTTCTAAAGGTCTTTCAAAGTATTTCTTTGGACATTTGTTGCCTTTTCACTAATTTTCAGAGGAATGTTTTTATTTTTGTTAAGCTACTTAACACTGACCTATGAATCATACCAGCATGACAAGGCACTTAACTCAAGGAGTGAACCATTGTTCTGACACACTTCGTTACTAGAAGCCTGTGGCAAAAACACATAATTTGTTCCAATTTCTTTTTTGAATCTACAGAAAGTCAAAGACAACATGATATAATGGGCATAAAATACTACTGTTGAACCAACAAGGTGATTCCCAAAGAGCCATTAACTGAAAACGTAGCTCATATCATAGCTCATATCTATCTAGACAGCATGGTGTGCGGTGTGTCCTTAAAAAAACTTAAGGAAACTGGACAAATGGAGGACAACAGAAGAAGTGTCAGGTATAAAATCTGTCTGCAGCTGGCACAGAATTGGCACAGAATCGGAAAGTTATGGCTTTAAGAAAGAGGAAAAAGCTTATTAAAGACCTGAGAGATGCATCTAACTCTACTATGCACCAAATCATCATTAGACATGGTCCTAGTGGAAGGGTGGCTGTGAAGAAACCATTCTTATGGAGGTAAACTGGAATAAAAGGCTGCAAACTTTCACAACAACTTGACTGAAAATCAGTGGCAACAAGTCTGATAGTGTGGTGAATCAAAATCAGTATGTGTGGGAGGAGGGCAGGAGAGGTACACTGCATACAGAATACTTATATGCTGCATTTCTATGTGTGTTTGTGCATGATTCATAATTAGTTTAATCTATTTCCCATTTTCACAGCAAAAACATAAAGAAATGAGTGGTGGCTCTAGACTTTTGCATGGTACTGTATGTAGGCATACAAGTAAAAATCAGAGGATGCTTAAAAAACTCAGAAAGACTAATTACATTTTTATGCATAAAGATAAAAAGACTGGGGTAAAATTATAACTTATCCTATCATAAATAAGTCTTTCCCCTCTGTTCGAGAAGGTAAAGCAAGATTTGGAGAGATGGAATTCCCTACCTGTTTCTTGGCTAGGACGTATAGCTTTGATTAAGATGAATATTTTACCTCGATTGTTATATCCTGTCCAAATGATTCCGGTTATATTTTCAAATAGAGTGATGAAGGATCTGAATAGTTGGCTAAGCTCTTTTATATGGAGCAAACGTAGACCAAAACTTAAGATGGCTACACTGCAGCTCCCAGGTTCAGTAGGAGGTCTAGATTTACCAAATATTAGAACATATCAATTGAGTACTCACATGAGTTATATTCATGACTGGGTCACAAATAATTCACACTCTATCTGGTTGGGGATTGAAACCTCTCTTTCAAAGTATCCATTAAGGGACCTATTGTTTTTCAAGAACTTTAAAGATATTAGATTGAGCTGTGATAATCCAGTCACACTTAATACACTTAAGGCCTGGCGGTCAGTATGTCGAATTGAGGGAAGGTTGAAGCTAACATCTATGTTTACTCCTATTGTGAATAATCTTGACTTTCAACCGGGGATGTTTGATATAGGTTTTAAGGAATGGAAGAACAAAGGAATTCAGAGACTGAGGGACTTATTCTCCGATAATGTAGTTATGCCATTTGACCAAATGGTTGAGAAATATTCTCTCCCCAAGCATGACTTTTTCCGTTACTTACAGATAAGGCATTATATTTTGCATAGTACTAACTTTAGTGAGAGTCATGAAGTCTCTCCTGTTGAAAAATTATTATTTTTAACAGACAAAGAGGTACCTGTGAAGATATTTTATAAGGCTTTATATTCTGTACTCTCAGGGACGTCACAGAGGCTTAAAGGCAAATGGGAAAAGGAATTAGGTATAGTAATTGATGATGAGGAGTGGGAAGATGTCTGGAGTTACGCCAAATCAATATCAGTTTGTAATCGTACCAAAGCAATACAGTTAAAAATTATACATAGAATGCACATATCTATGTTTCGCAGACATCAATATAATCCTACCCTTTCACCCATGTGCCTTAAATGTAAGACAGTAATTGGTACCCTAACTCACAGCTTCTGGTCATGTTTGAAATTGCAAGAATATTGGTCTAATGTGCTATTTGAAATGGAGAAGATTTTCGGTTGTGAATTGGAGATGGACCCTCTGTCTCTCATACTTGGCCTCCCCAGCCGGCGATTAATATCCAAGAATAATAGGAGATTGTACTGTGTTCTCACCTATGCGGCAAGGAAGAATATACTACTCCAATGGATTTATGAAAAAGTACCAACTATTAAAGGTTGGAAAAGAGTAGTGTTGGATTTAGTGCCACTGGAATATCTTACATGTATATTGCATTCAAAAACAGATCAATTCTTTAAGGTGTGGGAACCATACTTGAACTATGTGGAACCTGATGTTTCTAATATTATGTTACAAGGATTCTCTTGAGTGTTTAAACTGTAATGGAACTGAGCTGTTTTTTTTTTCTTCTTTTTTTTTATGTGTTTAGTTATCAGTTTGTTTGTTTTATGTTTGTTTGTCTGTTTGTTTATTTTTTGGTTTTGAATTGTACACTGTATTATGTTATGTAATTATGTACTATTTGTGAAAATAAAAAGGAAAAAAAAAAAAAAAGTCTGATTACTGTTCATGTCATATCCAGGAAGCATTAACAGCAAATTCACATCCATTTTCATTAAACGTGAAACACGATTAAACATGATTAATTTAAGAACATTGTTTTATTTACATCTGCTATTTGGGTCACGTGTTAAAACTAAAACCATGTGACCCAAAACTGAGCAGCATATTTGTGTGTCATATAACATTAAAAAGTAAAACATTAAACGTTCGGGCATGTTTTTTGTTTTGTTGCTCTGGATCATATTCAATTGAAAAGGCACTACAGTTGCTTTTTGAGTAAAAGCCACACATGCAAGAAAGAATTTACTTCAGTGAAAATACAAATGGTATACAGCAGTTGAATTAAGTAGCACAAAATAAAAATAATGACATAAAGCACAAGTATCTTAATATCAGGAATGTGTTTAAGAGAAATGTTTATTACCCACAGCTTTTTACAAATCAAACAAAAATTTTTTCTAATGAGCATAATACACAAAACATATAACATTATTATAAAAACGCGTGTACGTATGTTTTCCTGTGTCCATTTACTAATTCTATAAAGTCCATATAATTCATGAGGCCACTTCTGAGATGTGATGAATGTTGGACAGGGTAAGCTGTGCTTCCCGTGCTGGGTAGAAATGTCTGGAGCGAAGCCACAACCTCCCAAAGACTCCTGTTACCAGCAGCAAGACAAGCAGCAGTCCTCCAAGGACAAAGGTCTCCACAGCTGGGACTCCTCCTGCATCTACACACAGGTGGGTCTGCATGATTATGAACTGCTTACAGTGTCTGGAATCTTTAAACTATGAAGTTAAACTATATTAACTGCAAAGACTGAATTAAACATACCTAGACTGGGATTTTCACTGTGGTTTAATAGTCGTCTTATGGGTCCGTAAGACACTGTATGGGACAGTGGTATTTCTCTCCGTGTTCTCAGTAATCCATCTTCACCGGAACAGTTCTGTTTGGCAAATACACGAGTGAAATGTGAAATTTAAAAACCAACATAAGCAGTCAAATATACAGTCATAAGCACTGTATATTTAAAATGATGGCAGTTCATATGGCTGAAAACCACTCCTAGGCTGACGGGTCTATATTGGTGACATATAGCAGGCTACTTGTCTGAACTGGCTCCTGACTATCAGTTTGAGGAATGGGTGCAGCATGAGGTCACTCACAGGCTGACACAGACCAGGACCACTGTGGCAGATCTGGACGTTGCAGTGAAGGAAGACGTTGGTATAAGAGCTGCCGACAAACTTAAACATTTGTATCCTGAACGTGGCCTCTGGGCCCTGACCGTTCTTCAGCACGCTCAGAGTCTGGTCGTTGGTCAACACTGGACAGCTAGAGGGAAGGAGACAAGTCTAAGAGGCCTGCTGATAGCAATGAAACACGATGCTGCACTTTAAATATAACAAAAGGAGAAACAGCTAATAAAAAAAAATGCAAACATAACTTGAGGTGATACAACACAGAAGTGTTTGAGTGCTTTCATCTCTTCATCTCTTTAGCTCTGAGAAATCTTGGTGCATTTCATAACTCTGCTGTTGCCAACAGTACCAAATACTGCCTGGTTGTCAAGGGCATGCACAGCTGTTGAAGTGAAATGCATGTGGCCTCTCAGCCAGGAGTCACATGACCAGCCTGTGAGATTTGTTGTCTGGACAGCTCTCTATGCAACAAACTCTCTTATTTCAGATTTCAACAGTGCACCCATAGGAGGAGGTGGAACTGTTTGCTAATGTGGTGAAACAACACAGCCACGGAGAACGCCATAAACAAGCTTCCACACCTTCAAAGTATGTGGTGTAAACATGGCAATCATGCATTTTCATCTGCATTCAGTTTAAACAGTCCAGAGGCAGACCTGTCTGCGATGAAGGTGTAATGAATATTGCTGTATGGATCACTGGTCGGCGTAGCCCAACATCTCTCCATACGCAGCTGCAGATGAGAAGGTATCTGTGACACAGACAGAGTTCGGCAACGGTCAATTAATTCCTTAAACAGGACAAACAGTTTTCCATAACGCACAACAAAATGATGACTCATAGTAAGTAAACAACAGGTGTACCAAGAGATTATAACAGCACGAAAGAGGACTCAAATGACTGTCTAGTCATGGGTGGAGTGTTAGATTTCCAGCACTGGTTGGAAAACTACCCACAAAACATATTGCTTAACCTTGTGTAAGAGCACACCCAAACTAACTCAAAAATAGCTGTGAATATTAACAACACTTTGAATGCTTAACAGTCAGAGCCAAGTATATATAATCCCTGTTAGATATTAACAGATATACTTATCCTGCCAATCAAATGCAAATACAACATATTGCTTTTGTGCATCATTCCAATTTGCAAATATATAATACAGCTTGTTAAGGTGAGAACTACATCTTTACTATTTGGAGGTGAAAAATATACTAAACTGACATTTCACTGCGATTTACCATGAAAACTTTTACAAAGATGTTATCCTCCAGAGTCAGCGATGGCACAGTGGTCCACCTGTCCTCAAAGGCTTCGTCTTTGTACAGCAGCATTGACACTGAGAAATTCCCATCCTCAGTGTTCAGAGTGATAGGTCTACAGAGGCAATGGGTTTATTAAAATAGGCCAAATGTTGAGAACAAATCATTCTCCAGTTGGAGAAAAGTCAGAAAAGAAGAAAACATTTACCTGATGTCCACTCTGATCATGTTTTCTCCGTTGGGCTGTTGGACCATGTAGTTGATGGGGTAGCGGCACGCAAATGTTATGTTGATGTAGTTTCTTGTGATAATATCTGAGTAGTTGTTGTGTATGGTGTTTATGAACACCATGTGTGTGTCATCTGAGGCCTATGGAGAGAACATAGCATGTGTGATGGTCAGTGAGGGGAAATGTAGCTTGTTTACTTTACCGTTACTTTTTAGATTTTTATAGAAATAGGAATCAATAATGCTGTTTTAGGTAAGAACAACTGCAGAAACCTGGAATAGAAATTAAGTGATGGGCTGATTAAATAGTGGAGATCTTAAGAGAATGTCTTTTATGAAAGTTTAGAAGTTTAGTTAAGTTTGATGCCTTTGTCTAACTAATGTCTGGATTGCGACATCATAAAAGACATATACACACGAGTCTAACATAATGCAGGTTGGGCGGCCTTTAGTCTGCATGTTAAAGTATCCTTGGGAAAGATACTGAACCCTGAGTTGCCACCATGCCACCATATTCATCAGGGTGCAAGTGTGTGTGAATGTTAGAAAGCACTTAGGCATAGATAAAAGCACTGTGTGGATGTTTGTGTAACTGAGTGAAAGAGACTTGTATTAGAAAGTGCCTTAAGTGTTCAACTGAGTAGAAAGGTGCTATATAAGTACCAGTCCAACTTAACATTTAACAATACATAAACTCTACTGTGGTACATATGAATACTGGCAAAGTGGATTTGCTAGCATCACCACATTCATTTTTTAATTCAATTCAGTTTCATTCATAAGGTGCCAAATCACATAACAGTTAGATCAAGGTGCTTTATACTGTAATGTAAACAACCTATAATAATACAGAGATTAAGTTAAAGTTAGGTTGAGTAGTCACTGGGATTAAATACTCTTATTCAGCTGTCACCATCCTTTTAAAATAAACCATAAAATGGGAACAGGTGAAAAGCTGGTGTGTGAAGTTTCTGCAGGTCCCTGTTGAGATGCAGGGTGGTGACCATGGTTACAAAGCAGGACAAACTGTCTTTACCTCTAACAGTTCAACATTTTTTACTACTTCTTGGTAAACACTCAATCGCTCCCCCGGGGCAGCCTCAATGAGAGGACCACTGACAGATCTCGCAGCAAACTACATAACCCCCCACTGCTACGTGCACTTATCACGAAGGCTCTGAGTCTTATACATCCAGAAATGTCAGCGAGGAAACTGTAAACGTGGCGTCTCTGATGGCAGGGTGTAAAAGGTGCTACGGTCAAGGTGAAAGCATGACTGACAGCTGTGACATTCTTCTCCTTTAGCAACAGCCCTTTTTCCTTCAGAGCATACTTACTTTCCTCAGCTTCTGTGCAAAAACCTTGTAAATCGCAGAAATTGAGTACTGAGAGAACTGCTGAAAGCCGTGTTAACCTTTTAGGTGGTTTACAAGAAAATTTTTAAAGCATTCCAAGGATTTAAAGGACACTTATGTGTTAAGCAGTGGCTGACTTTCAGTGTAGAGCAGCTGGATTAAAATAACCGTGAGCCTCATTGCCCACGTGAATGCTGATAAATAAGAAATACAAGGCCATTCAGAGTCCCATTGATGCTTTAAATGAGGCCCTGTCCTGTTATAGGCAAAAAGAACAGCTCTGTCCGTCTTTCTTGAAGAAATGCCACTCCTCCCCTTCTTTTCTCTTCCTTCCCGTCTCTCTGGGTTCAGCGTTCACTCTTAAAAGATCACCTGAAGGAGCAATCCTCTATTTTTTTAAGGCAAATCAAAGATGGATCATACCATTATAGTGCCGCAATCTGACAGATTTGTCTTAATGCTGAAAACATAGTCCTCTCCGACTACATCACCACGGCACTCCAGATCATTTAAATGCAAATCCCAAGCCTTAAAAGAGAAGACACAAAGCAAATAGAGACAAACATGTAATAATTACTCAAAATGACACAGTGCTCTTTGGCATTATTATTAATGACTGGTCAGTGATGACTTACGTAAACAGGAGGAACTTTGTTGAGAAAAAAAGCGCTTGGAATAACAAGCTCCATACGGTCGTTGGTGCAAATGACAGTTTCATTAAGTTCTAACAGTAAAAAAAACAAAGTTATTTTATCAGTCACATTTTACACTCGGCACCTATAAACAGGTATATTACTATTTAACCAGTCAGCACATGTAGCGGACCAACAGTGTAGCCACCAATAAGTAAATCAACCAAACCAACAATATCCAAATATTAGCTTTAGAATGATTATTTTCCTCTTTTGTTGAAAGTTATACTATGACTCAGTACTTTTGAGCATTATGTATGTATATACAGGTCATTTTCTATATATTTTTCTTAAAAATTTGCCTCAATCATTTTCAGAGAGTCAAGACCTGAATGTGGTTGAAACCCGTCACTGCATTTAATGTCAAGGCATACAGCTTTTGCCAAAGGAGGCACCAGTTATACTCCAGCTTTCACTGGACTTGGACTAAATCCTCCTCTCTTGAGTTAGAACCTTTTTACAATTATTGCAGCCAGTAAAACAAAACAAAACATGCTAATCAATAATCAGTTTGTTTTTTGTTCATCCCCAGATTTGTGAGCTGTGAAACGTGTGCTCACCCTCCGCCTCAGACTCCAGATAGACTGCCGAGGTAACCATCCTCATGGTGAGCAGTAGCCAGACAAAAACCAAACTGGCAGATGCCATCTTCCCTCTGCTTTCTGGTAGCTCAGCCACTCCACTACCTTTTGGCTCCTTCTCTGACACTCTGTGAATCTTCTGGGAGCTATTCACCACAGTCTGACACCAGAAAATGTAGTACCCCTCTCTTACTCCAGCCCCTTGAAAACTAAAGAACTGCGGCCCTCCCTCAAGCCCTAAAAAACACCATCTTGAATGATGCCCCCAACAACAATGAGATTCCACGCATGAATAGGGGGAACCGGGGGAGTCCAAGGTAACACGCATGTCACCGCCTACTGTGGCGACGTTCTCTTAGTAAACATCTTATGACCGTTTCTTACTACACAGACTAACAAGAAGTCTGGTAACCATGTAAAAAGGAACACCAGCACGAGGCTGTCCCTCTTTGTTGTCTGGACATCTTAAAATCTTTACAAGTACGGGAATCGCAGTCAGTCAGGTGAAAAGAAAACGCATTACAAGTCAAGGGCAATTCGCTAACAATGCCAAGTACCAGTGAGTGCATGTGTGTGGCAGAAGAGACCATAAAATACAAGAGAGGAATGATTATTTTAATCAGTTTAAGACAAGTAACATTTAATTAATCCACACGATTCTTAAGCTTGACCAGACGATTTTGAGGAATAGAAAAGAATGAGACAGTTGCTGTAAAGCACAAAACATCTTCACACAATTTTTACAAGTTTGATTTACAAGATTAGTTTCCAACAATCTGCACATTGTGCTTCTTTTTGTCTTGCAAATAAGATGGGCGCCATTGTTAGACCAAACTGTGTGGCTTTGTTTCAACAGTGAAATAACTTAAGGTCGATTGCCCGGCCGAAGAAATCCCGCGACAGTCTTTCACTTCAGTTGTAAAAGAGTAAAAGTGAGTTTATGTCAGAGGTGAGCACAAATCAATGGCGTTCTTCCTGCTTCATTTTTTTAACCACACAGTAAAAGGACGGCACAAAGAAATCTGGCAATAACAGGCGGACGACCCGTCACTCACAGACTTTTATTTCCTGAATGTTGTGAGAATGCCTCAAAGTGGTTCAGTCCATCTGGAGATACAGTGAAGTTGCACATAAATGAACACACCTGACTAAATGCGATAAACAAACACAGCTGAACAAGTTGGACCAGTAAGATACAACTATGACAAGTGATGCAAATGCATCAGCTCTAAATTGAGTTAAAATTCAACAAGTAAGAAATTTGTAGTCATCATCCATCAGCGATTTCTTAAAATAGTTTTTGGAAATTCGTTTCATAACATCAGGATGCTTATATAAAAAAAGTGGAATGTGCAAAATTTGTCACCGCTGTGTAAATCGTGAACTCCCTTTTTCTCCTGTTTGCTTTACTTGGTATGTACCAAGTGAGGAGCCCAGTGCTGAGATTCACTCCAGAGGTTCAGTGTCTTCAGTGAACAGATCAGCCAAGTCAGCGACTGTCAGTACCGCAGCCTCCGAGTGCTTCATGGCTGTGCTGGTGTGACTGGAATCAAAAAGACTTTTATTGGTACTTTGACAACAGCGTATCCCCTGACCTCTTAAACTTGTATTTAAATACAAAAATAGCATCATTAAGAACTGACACGCACCTTTTTTCTGCCGTCTTCAGCATTGCTTGCATTCTCTCTTCAATTGTAGATTTGATGAGGAATCTGTGAACAAATGTTGGCCTGGTGGAGAGAGGAAACAAAAATGAGCATTTGTTTAGTTTTTTGTTCAGTAGAGGGTGGATAATTTAATATAAATATTATTTGGATAAAAGGATTAACAAATTCTCCACACTGTCATTCCTTTGTCAGACTTTAACTGCTCCTAAATGAAAAAAAAAAGTACTCTTAGTTGGATTTAATTTACATGCATTTGTGCATTCTGATGCAGATCTGTAACTAGAAGCAGTGAATAATGATGTGTGTACAGCACTGACAGAGGTGTGCATGCTATATAAGTGCACTTTGGTCAAGAACTGTGTATCCCTGAGCACAGTGGTGAGTAAAAACAAAAAACTAATGAAATCAATTTCAGTGTATCCTGCTGAACTCTAAGTGCTTTATTTTCTGACATATTATAAGCTGCATAGTTGTGGATTTATAGTTTTATTAAATAACTGGAGGTTGCACTCGTATTAAACATGAATCTAAGAAAAAAAAATAAACTGCAGCTTTGAAGTCAATTCTCACAAGATGAGAAAAATGCAGAAGCTTCGTGTAGATGCAGCAACACATCTACACAAAGCTCTAAAGGACCCACAAAGTTATGCTGAAACTTCAGAGGTTTACTGACACACTTTACTGCCTGCTCCTTACTTGGTTTGGCCAATCCGGTGCACTCTGCCTATTGCCTGGAGCTCATGAGCAGGGTTGAGGATTGGTTCAACCAGCAGCACATGTGTTGCTTCGATGATATTCAGCCCATTGGAGCCCGTGTGGAGAGGTAGAAGAAGAATGTTGATCTTCTCTTCGTACTTGAAGGAACTTAGATTCTCCTGGAAAACCACAATGAACAGTGCAATAATGAACAAATTACAGTCATATCTGTATCAAGAGATGCTTCGGTAATTGATTTATTTTAAGAAAAAAATGAGGATTCCCTGAAAATTTATACTGCAATTTAAATACTGTGTATTTTCAAATTCAAACAATTATTTAACGTGCCGATTTTATCCAGTTTCTCCTTTGTATTACACAAAAACATAGACAATGAATGTATTCATTAGTCTTTATATTGTATTTTACTACAGAAAAACCTTAATTGTTATTAAGTTTCTGCATATGAGAGGCAAGAATTCATCTCCAATTGATTAACCTCTTTGTTTGTTGGCAGTATAGCTCACACACAAAAAACAAACAAACATGCGGCCCGGGGTAAAGGAAGAAATATTGAGTTTAGGGTTGGTGTGCTCTCAAGGGAGTGATCTCAGGTAAAAACAAAAAAACAAAAACAACCTCAAATGAAGAACAAGGTGTAGCAGCAAGCCGAACAGCTGTTTTAGCTGCTGGTGGTGGAGAATACACACCAAGGAAAACCTAGTAGGTAGGTATTTAGACAGTCCTTAGACAGGGGGTTTACTGTAAATGTTTAAATCTATCATACAGTCTGTGGTATTTCAACAAAAAACAAAACAATACAAAAGTTAAAAAGCAGGGGTGTGTATTAAAAATTGTGGCGTTCATTATGTGTCAAATTCAAACCTGAAATTTGTGAATCCCGTTGATTTGAGAAAACTCCATGTTATTGTCAAACAAGGCCTTGGCGATGATGTCCAGGACACTCTGCCACTGTGCACAAGAGAAAAGGCAACAAAACAGGTCAGATCCAAACTCGATATCGCCAAAGTAAGTCTTGAAGAGTGCGGATAGTTAACTGTTACCGTGGAGAAGACGAGACATTTGGCCCCGGGGTTGGTCACTTGAATCTTCTTCAGAGTTCTCACAACTGCCTCCACTTTGGTAGAGTGACTTCCCTGACAACACAGGAAGAGGAACGTTGTCATGGCTGTGTTATACATTTATTTTTTTCTTTGAAAATGGGGTCGCTGGCTGACCTTGACTGGTATGTCTTGGTCCTGACTGGATGATTGGGTGGTGAACACGTAAGAGATTTCTGTGTGGGATGTAGTCTGCCTACAAATGGCACACTTGATGGCACGCCGCCTTGAGCCCACGCTGTACTGTTCCACAATGATAGCAATACACTCGTTACAGAAGCAGTGTCCACACGTCAGCACGGCCCACTGGAAAAGAGAGAAGAGCGAGATATTATTCTAAAGTATGACTAGCAGAGTATGGATAACTATTGACATTAATTACAAACACTCGCTAACCACTTCATTAGGTACACCAGTTGAGCTGCTTATTAATACAAATATCTAATTAGGCAATCATGTGACAGCAACCTATTCCATTTAGGCAAGTAGACACGGTCAAGATGACCTGCTGAGGTTCAAACTGAGCATCAGAATGGAGAAGAAAGCAGATTGTAAGTGGTTTGTTCGAAAATGCTAGACAGGCTGGTATGAATATTTCACAAACTGATGATCTACTGAGATGTTCCCACCAACCAAGATGTATAAGAAGTAGTGACTCTCACCTCCTGTCCCAGGGGCCGAGCACAAATGGGACACGGCTCTGGGTTCAGACCTCCAGTAGACTTGTCCTGCGACTGGATCAAGAAATGTATGTTGTTCAGAGTAAGCTCACATAATACATTTAGCTGGGGTAAATTTATGAATTGTGTAATTACTATCACCTATAAAATTACCTTTTCCAGATTTGTGAGATACAAAAACTGGCCGAGCTTCTTTTGGAGCTGAGATTTTGCCACAGCTTGGTCGTTCAGAAGTTTGACTCTGTTCTGCTCCACCTGGGAGCAAAACAATCGAGAGGAGGGGTCAGCTAATGAAAAATATCAGGACACTTTAAATTGCAAATATAAAGATCTATATTATATGTAGAAACCCACTGATCCAACAATAACATGAGAAAACTCGGGGACAGTGAAGAAACCCCCCTTAAATCTCTGCAGACAGTTAGTCTATGAAGCAAAGTAACTCTGCAAAGAGCCAATCCTTTAACAGTCCTAATAACAAGTCAGTCATGTTGTCACAACTTGTATAAATTATCTTTTACCAGACTGTCATAAGCGTGCAGCTATGCTAAATGAGTGTCACTGTCTTTAACTCGCCTCGTGGGGCTCTATGATGTGCGGCAGTTTGGGCTTTGGTTCATCAGGCAGACGCACACGTAGCCTCTCGGTGGCCATACCCAGCTCATCGATGGCTGACACATGATTACGCAGCACCATCCAGTACTCGTGCAGCACCTGAGGACAAACACCAACACCAAAACAAAGACTTAAAAAAAGAATTTTTGTTAAACTGACTCCTCATAATACATATAATAATACCAAATGCCTATTGGAGCCCTACTGGAAAAATGCAGCTTTTTAAAAAATAAAAGATGCTCTTGTTGTCGTTTGTCCTTGTAATGTTGTAAGTGTGCCTACAAACCT